TAGTTTAGGGATTAATTCATAAGTAGTCCCTTTAGTATTTCCTTGTTTTTACATTATAATCACTAGGGATTTTGTTTGGTTCTTCTTTTATGATTTTAATACCATGTTTGCATTCATTTTAATTTAGTCATATGATTGTGTTATGTTTATTTGTAATTGGCCACTATTTTTATTTTTTCATTCTAGTCCCTGCTAATTTAAATACAAATATTAGTTGCTAATCTGACTTTGAGGTGACTGGACCCGGGCTACGACTCGTATTATTGTCTGTCCGAGTTAAAAACTAAAATTAATGCTAATTTTTATTTTATTTATACTTTTTATTTATGTTATTTAATTGTATGCACATTTAAATTTATGTCATTTACTTTTCGTTATTTAATTTCAGTATTTACCTTTTATGTGTTTTAAATTTATGATCTTTTATTTTTACCCTTTATTTTTCAGTACTTTAATTTTAGTCATTTTACATATTCTAATTACTTTTAATATTTATATTCTTTTAATTTAATCCTTGATAGATCATTTTTCAGATTTAGTCCATAACCTTTTAATTATTCGAATCTTAAAATTAAATAGTTTAAATAGAACCTCCATTTTAGCTTAGATTTCAAAATAATCTTTTAATTTAGGGGATAATTCGAGTCGGCCCTCGCGTAAACGCTCGAGGGACTATCTCGGTTATTCGATTCAATAATTAATTAAAATTAAATAGGATAAATATTAGATCCTGCGTTTTTAAATTTGAGCCCCTATGTTCCTTAATTTCATAATTTGACACTTTAAGTTAGAAAAAACCTTAATTTATTTTTAGTATAATTAGGATTAAATAAAATTTTGCTTGATTGCATTGTTTTTAAAATTTAAGGCATTGGTCACTTATTAAGGAGTTAACAGTATACCCTCCGCGATCGTGCTTCGGGGGTGACTACTGGTAATTCCCTAAATGAGTCGACATTCTTTTCAAAACCACATCATGTTTTCTAAAAACGAGGCAATGTTCGGCTATTAGGCACAATAACTGATCTCTCGCATTTACACTCGGGAGCAAAGGCTATCGGTCTCAATAAACGAATACCCTTTTCAAACTCTGCATCCTTAATGATTTTTAAATTAAATAAAGATCGAACTCAAAATTTCTAATTTTAAATATAGGGTAACCAACTAGGTACCAATTTTTGGGTGCTTGTGGGGTGCTAATCATTCCCCACGCGTAACTGACTCTCGAACCTATTTTCTGGATTTTTGTAGACCCCAAAACTCAGTATTTTATTAAAATAAAATATTTTATTTAAATCACCCAGTTTTTACGGTATTCCAATCTCATCTTAAATGATTGGTGGTGACTCCTCACATTTTCGAAACGATTTTTCAAAGAGAAAACCCCTAAGTCGGTATCGATCTTTCCCCGCCCGGGCGAAAAATGGCGTCGACAGTAGTCAAATGGTTGAGAGTTATCTTAGAACATATATCATCTTTTACTTACTCCAAATTAATATAAATTTTAAAAGTTTTTTCTTATCACGAGTAGAGAAGTTTCTCAACTAAAAAAGATTAATTATATATTTAATCACATAACTATCACTTTGGTTCTGTTAGGTTATTTAATTATTTGTTTTTCAAAATATTCACTAATGTTAGGTTTTGATTTCATTTTGATCAACTATTGTTAAATATTAATAGAAATATTGACTTGAAATTTTTTATTTTTTGAATGATGATGTATCATTACCTTATGGTGACATGTTAACATCATCGTTAATTTTTAAAATTGTTGATCAAAATGAAACAAAAAACGTAATATTAGTGATAATTTTGAAAAAAAAAACAAATATTTTGGTTACTATAACGAAACCACACGAATAATTAGATAACTAAATATCTAATTTACCCTATATTTTATTCAACTTGAATTTTTACTGCAATTCTTTTTATAAATTCTATCCTAAAATCAATTCTTTAATTTTTTTATACTTTAATCAATACTCTATTCTCAAAATATTTTTATAAAAAATAAAATTATAAATATATCTAATAATCTTATATAATATTTTAATTTTATTAATTAAAATTAGGCCCAAATTGATATAATATATAAGTAACAGTGACCAAATATGTAATTAAACCAAATATTTAACTGTCACATCAATTTTCTGTTAAATATTAAGGCAAGTGGCTTAATTAAATGTATTTAAATAGTTGAGTGATCTGATGACAAAATTTAAAAAATGATGGTCAAAATAGAAAAGGACAATAATTAGGTAGTCACTATAATGTATCATTTATTTTAAATAATTTACCTTTAATTTTTAACTAACTTATAATTATAGCTTAATTCATTTAGTTTAAATTTTTATAAATTAAATTAGTGGTGTTTATCAGTATTCATCGAATGTCATAGATTTTTTTCTAAATAAACCCATTCTTTAATGGGTGAAATAAAATTATAATATAAATGAAAGAATTGGCAAACAACATAATTATTTGAATAAATATATTATTGATTATTAATTTATGTTTATTTTTTATTAAGTTTTGTTATTTAAGTTATCTCTGACATATACATATATTTTCAATTCCCTCTTTCTAATATTTTTAGTTTTTTATCTCCCTTTTATCTTTCATAATTTTCTCTCATTCTCTCTTAAGAAAGGGTAAAAGGGAAAAGTTCTATAATACATCACCTTTAATATACAGTTAAAAAAATGTATTATTATTTTTATTATTATTTAAATAATAAAATATGTAAAAATTTATCTAAAACATTATTATTTCTATTTAAAACATTAATTTTTTTAATATTTTTGATAAAGTACCTAATAATAACAAAAATAATAAAAATAATAATAAAACTGATACAAATAATAATATTTTTAATAAAGTTTTATAATTTTATTATTTAAATAATAATAAAATCTATAATACTTTTTTTAATGGTATAGTAAGATTACCTATCATTTCCATAAAAAGCGTTTACACCTCAGGTTTTATCTCTCCTCTCACTTCCATGTCTTTCCCTTCCTTTTCTTTTTTTTCGCTTTATTTTTTGCCACTTTCTCTATCTGCTGTCTCTTTCCAACAATTTTGAACTATGGGTCCATACTACTTTGTTGTACTGTTAAACCTTCCGTTTATGATTTCACTTTACTTGTTTGTTTGAGCTTTGAGGATGATTCTTTTACGAAAGAGATCTGAGATTTTTTTAAAAAAAATCAACTTTCCGCTTTGAAAGCTCATAAACTGCAATAAAAATCCAAAGTTTTTATTCATAGTTTTTTTGTGGGTGTTTTAGCTATATTTGTTAGATCTGATTATGGGTTTTTGATGCATGTAATGTTTGGATCTTGAGAAAATGTGAGGAATTAGGAATTGGTTTGGGTCTGAAAGTTTCCATTTTTCAGTTTTGTATATATAGATCTCGATGCTGCTGCTTTGCAATCTTAGATTTGTTTTCGATTTCTGCTAAATATATTTTGTTCACTATGGATTGAGATCTTTGGTTTCCATATCTCGGGTCTGAGAAAACGTTAAGGCTGCCATTATGAAATCTAGCTCATGGTAGGTGGTTTGCATTTAGATTTAGAAAGGTAACATTTTGTTCCCGTTTGTGTTCTCTAGTATTTAAATTATGTTGCTTTAACTCTTGTTTTATGTGAACGCCATGAGATTCTTGCCTTAGTTTGTGTTTGAATGTTATAAAAAATGAGGATGATAGCAGGATTTGGATTGTGTTGATGGAACAAGTCGATTCGCAGCTAAATTTATTCTGTTTGTGTTGTTGACTACGTGATGTAGCTTCATGGATGATGATGCGTTGAAAAAGCGTATGGGGTTACTATGAACCATCTTTTAAAGGACATCTTGGTCTTCAGGTCATGACTAGCATGGCTGAGCGGGACAGTAAGCCGTTTATTCCTAGACGTGACCATGATCTCATGGTCACTCCCGGTGCGGCCTTTCACCCAAGGGACTGCATTGCTTCGGATGCAGCTATCCCCATGCATTATGTTAGGGATACTTGGATTAGCCAGGGAGAAAAGTATTTCAACATGATGCAGCCGACCACCATTCCTAGTTATGGCGTTTTCCCAAAACTTCGACAGCTTATTTGTTGCCAATTTTGCAGCCACCGCCTCCTGACCCTTCAACAAGAGATGAGAGGATGGTTGGTAGAGTTGAAGAACCACCGGCATGTAATGAAAATGTCGAATCAAAGAAAAGGCAGGGCGGGGCTGGCCCTAAGACACCAAAGGAGAAAAAGCCTAGGAAGCCTAAGGATAACACTAATTCTACCATTCAACGTGTGAAACTGCCAAAGAAGAGTATGGATAATAAGATAAATGGGTATGACATGGATATTTCGGGTATTCCAGTTCCGGTTTGCTCATGCACTGGAACCGCCCAGCAATGTTATCGATGGGGTTGTGGTGGTTGGCAATCTGCCTGTTGCACCACAAATGTATCCATGTATCCTTTGCCAATGAGCACCAAAAGGCGTGGAGCAAGAATAGCCGGCCAGAAAATGAGTCGGGTCACTCGAGAAGGTCCTCGAGAAATTTGCTGCTGAAAATTATAACTTCAGGAAACCTATCGACTTGAGGAGTCATTGGGCTAGACATGGTACCAAGTTTGTCACTATCAGGTAGATTCAAATCTGCAGTAGTGATATCGGGACTCCATTGCAGATGGCCTGCTTTAGCTGTATATATCTCTATGGCTATTTGCGGAGATCATCGATGAATTTTCTCACGACAATGTTCCAAAATTTGAACATCGTTAGATTTTTTCATTTAAGATTTTGTGCTTTAACAACATCCGTTTGTTTTGGTTATTGACATTCGAGTTGTGGATGAGTACTTCATTTTTTGGGTAATTTTTTATTTAACATAGGTATTAACCCATAATATAGTGATTGTTCATGATACATGCGTATGTGCATTACAAACATAATTTCAAGCTTGCATGCATACAGAGACACTAAAATATAAGCAAAATCCAGGAAACGTGAAAGCAAGGTCGGTAATACTACTATAAATATTATCAATACAAACACATTAACACCACAAAACAAAAAAGTTAAAACACAATTTACAAACTAGTTTCTTTTCTATCACTATCAATGTTGTTCTCTCCCTCCATGGCAAATAACATCGTTCTGCTAGTATGCGCCCTTGAACGTCAGTTGCCTGTCGTGTTCGACCCCTACTGATGCACAATCCATACACTAATCTACCATATCCTTTCTTTCATATTCACAACACATGGTCCTGCTGCTATAATCCAGTCTACACTTATAGCAACTATACTATAACATCCTATAACCTCTTCCTGCAATTAAAAAAATTCTTTTTAGACACAACAGATGAGCGTTAAATAGAGAGGTCAATGTCATAAGCAAAACATACCGCTTCCGACTTCCTTAGCAATGTGGGGGAGATCCCAGCTCCGAATCACAAACTGATGTGTATGTAGAAACCATATCTTCCTTTGATATGGCTACAAAGTTCAGAGGTGCTGTAGACAACCTTCTCATTTCCTTGAAGTAGCCATTTTGGAGTCCCGAGTATGATCGTGATGCAAGTAGCTCAGGTGTTGCTCCACCCACTGAGTTCCGACGTGGTGTATTGGGAGTCATCAATCCATTTCCATTTGCTAAATAACCGTTTGTCCTTCTCAAGCTGTTACTTCTCCTTGGACTAGGTTTTGACCCATAAATGGCTTCTCTCTCTGTCAGGAGTAGATCTTGGATCTTCTTTTGGCCCTGCAAAATGGAATAGGCAAGAACATTTTTATGCATGTATTAGCTGTAGAGATTGATGTTAATATTCGATGCGGCCTGCTTAAAAACCTGGTTGAAAACGGAATTCACCAATAATATTTACACAAGCAAAAAGCATATTAAAGTTACCCTGCATCTCTTCTTCTCCTCTTCTCTCTGTTTCCTTGTCAGTTTGTAGTCTTCCAGTATCGACACTAGTCGTACCTATTTTACAAACAATCTTATTCAGAAACAATTCTAGAACTACAATGATCGTCCGAATTGCCTGAAATTTGAGCTGCAAAAGTACTGACCCCATCATACAGGAACGTCTTTTTTTCTTCTTCCCAAGCTAGTGTCCGGTTGATCAGATTATCCACAATTGCTGCAAAGGGTATTCTTATTAACTCAATAATACAAATGTATACGTCAGAGAATAATGAGGAGCAAAAATACCTGGAATTTTGGTTATGGTTATTCGGGCTTTTTCGGCACGTTTAAGGTTAATGTGTGAACCTCTCCCTGCATTGTAACGGTTTTCATCCTGAAACTCGAAATGAATTAGTCTACAAGCAATATTGAAGAGGAAGACTAAGACTGGAAGAACACATGAGATATACGTAACGTTTGCTTACTTGATTGTAGTCTTCTAGCCAATTTTCTTCTTCACATGCGGCAAGCCATCGGTCTATTCTATCCATTATTTCTTTTCGACTCAAAGCTTCATCTTTAGCCTTAGTAATCTGTGCTTCAATGTTTGCTAAAAGTTCTGAAGGGTCTACAAGACCTGAACAACAATAGCAATATCCATCATTACGTCCCAGAAAGTAAAATCAAACGAGAATGTCTAAACGCAAGACATGAAGGAAACACAACACAAATACCAGAATCAATCAATGCATCAGATTTCTCAACAGCAGTACTTGCATCAGGTTCAATATGAATCATTCTGCAAATATCTTCCAATTCCGATCTTCTTTTCATAACAAGTTCTTTCATTCTGCTAGCTTTCAATTTGGCAAGCCTCTCCACTTCTGCTGATGCCTGTCGAAAATATAAAAAAATTTGAGCACATATATTCCCATAATTAACCAAGAAAAAAAACAGATTACTATGCGGTCGAACCTGTTCAATCATCTCGTTTGAAAGAACACCTGGTTCTCTGACTTCATGTTCCAATAATCTAACAATAGAAGTGGCCCTCGAAAAACCATCCCTCTCGGCTTGGGGGGAATCCATCAAGTTCCAGAGGTCAAATAGTTGGCCCACAATATCCCTCAACTTCATTTCAGAAACAGGGTTTAGATTCAAATTTTCACAAGATAAAACTATGAAAGCTAGGGAAGGGTATAGAATACCTTCTGGATTCGGGTTCTTCTTTCAGTTTTCAGCTTGTTAATGGTATGCTGTAAACCTTCAAATGTACCATCGCTGATATTCGTTGATTGTTCCTGGTTTGTCCTTTGCAAGCTGGGATGCACACCGCTTACAGTCTGGGCGAAATCCAACCCTAGTACTCCACAAAGTAAATGCACCTCATTTACGTATTCCAAAACCTTATGAAGACGATCAGACTGCAAAATGAAAGATAATGCTAATATCATCAAAATCTTGAATAGATCATAATAAATTTATGAAATCTATTCAAAGAATTAAATATGCCACTAACGTTCCATAAAAGCATATGAGCATTGCACCCAAGATCAGCTATGTATTATGGCCATAACTTATCCTGATTGTTTTGTATACGTTACGGTCCAAATGTCTAAAGCGCAAATTACGGTCCAGCATCAAGGAACTTCATATAACATTTTTTTCCGTAAAATCCATACCTTCTCCTTCTGAAGAGTTTGAAGGCACGTCTGAAATTCAGTAAGCCTTCTTACTGACAAGTCCTGGTCTTCAAGAGTTAAACAGTTAATCATTGTATCATTAGGATAGTTGTAACGTGAAATTTCTCCACTGATCTTTTCGATTTGGTTCTTTATATCTTCAAATTGCTTTATTCTTTCTTCTTTCTTCGTCCTTAGATCGTCAAGCAGCGGAGTAATAGAAGCGAATTTTTCTTTTAATGATGACATCTTCTTCTCTGTCTGAATCTGTGAGTAATAAATTAGAAACAAAATTAGCAAAGTGCTACCGTATAGGAGAATGTATAAAACATGGCAGGTGATACTCTTGATGATCCTATGCAAGAGAATTCTATTTACCGGTGAACGAATATTGAGTTCCCCCAGAGCTGCCACTAGTGTTGCAACCTCAGCTTCCTTGGCAGCAACGGATTGATGTAGACGTGCCTTGGCATTGGCGGCTTCCTTGAGCTTTCGTCGGTAGACTTCTAAGCATTCCCTCTCCAATTCCAAAAGCATTCTGTCTTTATCAGCTTCACTCTCACCAATGTCACTCCATATTTGCTGCTCCCAGGAAAAAAAGAAAAACATTAAAGAGTTGAAGTGTGCATGAATTCCTTTTCGGAATTGAGATTCGGAAACTTACCAGCTTGCACGTGAATTGGTTAAAAAACTTTAAGAGAACGAGAACAGTGAAAACCAATGACAAATTAACCCCAATCATGCACAAAATCATCCAACATCCTTGGCACTTATTTCCACAGTTGGTCAAAACATCAAAAGAATAGGGTTATACCTATGTATGCATGTATGTATATTTGCCTAAAGAAAAAGCTAATAAATCTACAAATCCCATCATGTTATTGTACCAAAAACTTCATTAATCATCAGTACCCTCTACCCCCATGAACACTGAAATTCAAGCATCAAAAGCAAAGATTAACGTTCTAAGAGGTGATAGAACGATGAAGTCTTCATTAAATTAAGAAATTCAAACAACCCTTTGAAAACCATAGCTAATCTACACAAATTGAGGGAGAAAAAGACTGAATTTCAGTAACAGATCAGTGGCACAGGAACACCCTTTGGCATTAAAACAGATGAATAAATACTATATTTCACTTTATGCACTCAAAAAATGATCTAAAGAGACCTTGAATTCATAGCTCTTACTAGACTCATTATGATACATGATTAAGGAATTAGGAAACAATAAATGCTTTTAACTTTTAAAAAAGACATTAACTTTATCAAACATCCATCATTTTAAGAGGAAAACAGCCAGTTTCCAAACGAGACAACCCCATTTCCCTCCTTTCTTCCCCCCAAAGACCCGCGTTTACTAGGAAGAAGAAACTCAAAAAAAAATTACTTCGAAGTAATAATAATAAAGAAAGAAGGTGGAAAAAGGATAAAAGGAAAGATGACCTGAAGTTCTCTCAGCAATACATTGCAGCTTGAGCTTGTATGAGCACTGGTGGCTAAAGGACTTCCAATGGACAACATTTTCACAGATCTCCCCCCCCCCCAATTATTCAAAAATCAAAATTTAAAGTGAAACCCAAGAGGAAAAGAAAAAAGGAACACTCTTTAGCTGGTTCTCAGAAGCAAAGTTCGAGAGAAGAAACTCAAAAGAAAGAAAGAGAAGGAAAGTGAGAGGGAAATGAGTAGATATGAAAAGGCAAAAGAGACATCGCTTTGAAACAAACAATCTCAGCCTTCGTTCAGATCTGAAAAGATTCAAATCAAAACCCTTTCTTCTATTTGAGAGAGTGCAAAAAACAATAACGCCACCCACCAAGAAGGATCTGTAAACAGAAGAAGATTATGGTGCAGTTTTTCACTTTTGGGTGTTCATTCCCCCCACCCCCCTCAATTTTTTTGGTGAAGACGAGAACAGAGACAACAATAATTGCTAACAAAGAAAAAGGAATTAAGCTTTAAAAGGGACTAAAAATATGAGTTTTGCTTAAAATCTCTAGGGTTTGTCAAAAATGCAAATGTAGCAGGTTAAAACTTAGAACAGATTATCAAAGAAGAAGAAGAATGAAAGATCTGGTTTTTTTCTTTTCAATGAGTTTTGGGTCCTGTAACTGTTAAATTCTTTGAGGGATAAAGTACACTGAAACAAAAACCATTTTTTTTACATAAATTAAACAATTTAATTATTTTGTTTGGAAATTAGAGAGGGATATCCAAATCAGTAATGCAGAGCGTGTGTAACACTTCGCAATTAAAGTGGGGTTTGGCGGTTAAAGAAAGGAGGGCGCGTGGAGTATAAGGGATGTTCACATATACTCCTTTTTCAAGTGACTACCGACTCTTGGCCCTTCAGTAGCTGTTACGATCTTGAGGTTTAAAATGCCAATAAATTAATTGAAAAATAAATACACCACATTTAAATGCAGTAGTCGTATTTAATAATTCTTTTTTAAGTTTTAAACTAAAATGGAAAAATTACAGCACACCATTTTTTTACTAGTACTTGAATGTTAATGGTTGCATGATAATTGGAATGTGATTGAAGTTGAAAAGACAAAGGCTTAAATGATTATTGTCCGATGCCCGTTTGTGGTTATTGATTTTGTACTCGAGTTGGTACTTGATGATACACGTAGGTTTCGTTTAACTTTTTTTAGTTGCACTCTCATTTTTAATGTTTTATCTTAATTAATTTAGATTGTACATATAGTTTTGGTAAATAAATATTATAATAGAGATTTTATGCATACACAATAATTTGAACTCGAGACATACTTAAAAGATATCAAATTACTTACCATTGGAATCAATCATGTTAATTAAATAAATAAACTTAGAGGTAAAACGATTTTTTAAATAACTTATATTCGAGCAATTGTATTTATAGGACACATGTACATTGCTAATAGACTAAAGAAATTTTGAATATATATTATTTTGTAAACATATTATTCAAAACAAATAACATTAGAGATTATTAAACGATATTTAAATAATTGTTTTTATTATTTAATTTAAATGTTATTACATGATCATTGGATGTATAAAATTCTTATAAATTGATTATATACTCGATAAATTTAATAATTATATTATAAAAATTGTCTATATTTTTTTAATCTGATCTTAAAAATATAAAAAAAATAATCATTTTTAATGTAACTTTATCAAAGTTTTTTTCATTTATCGACGCCTTTGTTAATTATGCAAAAACATTCTTATTTCCTGATCAATTTTATACGTCCTCAAATTCCTATTTTTTAATATCAATTTAACCTTAATTAAGTCTCTAATATTATTACTTGCATGCATCTTTTGTTTTATTTTTTTGCATTTTTAGTATTAATGTGTAGTAACTTTTGGGGGTTTCTTTACATGTAATTCTAATTTATATTGCCTTTTTATTGCATGATTACTTTAAATATAAAAGGTTAAAATAAATTAAATGCAGACATATCAAAAACATATTTTAATTTAATTTAATTAAAGATAAATGATAACCAATTATTATAAAAGGCATTATAGTAATCATATTGTAAAGCAGGTTAGCCGAAAAATAAAATAGAATTGCTATGTCTGATTGGCCTACCAATACTAATAATATCTTTATCCCAAAATTATTGACGAGACCTAATCTTTTTAATTGTTGGATTAATTGCATGTAGAGGAAGACAGACAAAAATATAGCTGGCGTTGGAGAGAATACAGTTGATTGACCCTGAATCCCTCGTGGACAAAGACGGCACAGGGATGGGTGGGGGCAAATTGTCCCCAGTTTTAAATACTTTATTTGTTTTGTTCTTTTATAAATACATATTTTTATTTTTTAAATATTTAAATATTCATGAATTTTCTAAATATTTAAATAGAAAGTTATAACGTGGACTTAGACCCATTATTTCTAAATTATTTAAAGTATAATAAATGTTGCGGTACACACTAGGGGGATTTGGTTTGCAAAAAAGATTATTATCAAGAGGAATGATTTTTTTTGAAATTATATTTTCATATTTGATTCATGGAAAATATCATTTATTACTAGGTAATAACTTATTACTAATAATAGCATTTTTGGATTAAAATTGTGAGAATATCATCACCTTCAAATTCTTAGGTAAGGAACAATTCACACCACTTAGGACATAAATAACTTTGAAATAATGATTTTTTTTCTTCATATAAATCATTCTCGATTCTTTTTCTTCTTGCTTTACTTAAAATTATAAACTTAATAATAATAATATACAAAGAGTATAATTTAATAAAATATTAATAAATTTTAGTGGTTAAAATTATTTTATATTTTCAATATTTAGTATATTAATTATTTTATAATTTTATGAGGTGAAAATATTATTATTGTAAAATGTAATTATTCAAAATAATATTTAATTTTGAGTTATTAAAAATAGATCTTATACATTAAAAAATAATATATTTGTCCACTCGAGATCATAATATTATTTTTCATATTATATTATATTTTACATAAATAAATATGATGCTTATGAAAATTATTTAAAATTATAAGTTTAATGTACTAATTATGTTAATTATATGTTAAATTTATTTTTTCTTTAAACTTAGATAGTGTAATAATTAAAATATTTTTATGAGTTTTCATTCGAATATTTATTATTTAATATTAAAGTTTTACTTGTTAAAAAATTATATATGACAAGGACAATTTGGTAAAATATGTATCCAATTAATCTTATATTCTTACAATCAAACACTATAATGTTACATTCCCGTTAAGCAAACTAAACAGGGTAATACAACATTTCCAAAGGTAATCTTACATTTTGTGAACCAAATGTACCCTAAAACTATAGACACTTAAAGATGATTTTGGTAAAATTGTTTGCATCCATTTTGTTTCATTTTTTTAATTTTAGGGTTAAATTAAAAGTATAGTGATTAAAATAAAAAAAACAGAAATTAAGGCAAACAATACGTTTAATATATTGTTTCAAATTTAATTATATTGTAAAACTTTAAAAGACCGTAATTTTATGATTGAGTGTCTGATTGGCGCCATTTTCTAATACATGCGACTGTAATTTTATGATCGGTTGTTTAATTATAGTGATATTTTTAAGGCAAAAAGGCACTCAAGGTCCTCGACTTTCATAAAAAAACTCAATTTGGTCCTCATCCTTTCTTTTAGATCAATGAGACCCTCCAACTCCCAAAAAAACTCAATGTGGTCCTTTGACCAACGTTTTTCATCTTTGACAACGAAACCGTTAATTCCTACTGTTTTAAACTGGGAAAATTACACTATTTATTACTCAATTATTTTTTTTTTCTTCTATTTTGGTCACTAAACTCTAAAAGAATAATGCTGGGAAAAAGGGTGAAACAATCAAGGAAAATGAGGCCAAATTTTCTCTTCTCCGTCGTCGATGAGCGATTGTCTGTGCCGACCAGCGACGGTTGACACGGCGAGCTTGGTCAAAAACTGGATTTACCGAAGAATGATGAAGAACAAGATAAAAAAATTTATGAAAAGTTCAAACTCCATTTGATTAACTTTTTTATGATAATTAATTTAATCATAGTTCTAAATTTTAATTTAATTAATATTATTTTAATCATATATTAATAAAATAATAATAATAAATGCCACATCATACACAAATAATAATAATAAGTTGTGATTAAAATTGGTTGAATGATTAAATTCAAAGTTTTTAAAGTTTAGTGATCCAAATAGAAGAGAGAAGATAGTTGAATGATGAATGGTGTAATTTAACCAATTTATAAAAACATTAAACTGAAAACCAACATCTTTGACGTGCCACATCAACCAAAAGTAATGGTTCTGTTGGTCAACGACGGAAAACGTTATTCAAAGGGCCACATTGAGTTTTTTTTGAAGTTGGAGTGTCATATTGATCCCAAAAAAGGGATGAGGTCCAAATTGGTTTTTTTTAAGTTGGATGGTCATATTGTAAGAAAGAGAAATGAAAAAGGGGAAATTGTGAGATACAAAGCTCGTTTGGTTGCACATGGATTTTCACAAAGACCAATAATCGATTATGAAGAAACATACTCCCCAATTATGGATGCAACTACTTTTAGATTTTTTATTAGAATGGCAGTAAAAGAATGACTTACTTTTCGCCTAATGGATGTTGTTACAACATATTTATATATGGGCCTCTTGATAATTGACAATTATCGTTTTGATGCCAAATAAAAATCCTTCTTCTTAATTAATAAATAAAGGAAATACCGTAGTACAGAGAAGTAAGGGTCGATTCCACAGGGATTTAGAAAATTATAAATTTATGTTTAAATGATTTTACAGGAGATAAGTAGTAAAATGGAGGGTTTGGTAAAAAGATATTAAATAGTAAAAATTGCTTTAAAATAAGAATTAAGAAATTCAAGAATTAAACGTTGAAAATGGATATGGTAAAAACAACCTCAAGCTTCACTTTGACTCAATTTCCTTTAGATCATCGAATTAGATTTCCCCTTCGGGATTCACGTCAGTTACTTTGTCTACAAGGGCAATCCCCGTGACTCTATGTTGTATACTGAATACCCAAGGCAATCTTTGATTCTGGCTTCAGAAATTGATGTAATCAACATCAATTGTTGTATATCAATTACTGTTTAATTTCTTGGCGACCGACTCGGATTGTTACTACTATAACCGTCAATTCTGATCTCAATTTCCTCTTGGCGAAGCTATCTCGCCAAGTGTGTACCCAGGAAGTCAAATGTGTTTTCTATAAGCCGAATCTTCCTCCCACACGTTTAATCGCAACAACAATCTTGACCAAAGTCTATCTTTTGATTTTGAAAAATAAGCGCAGAGATTGAGAGAGATATTCCGAAGATATTAAGAGCTTGTTTCAATTCTCCCGTTAGAATTGAGACATCGCTTCAGCTCTCGACTTATGAAAAATTTAACTAAGCATGACAAAAGTCATACTTAGCATATTTAAAAATAAAGCTTTAAAATAAAGTAAAATTAGAAAACTTTAAAAGTAAAATGAGAGAACATTTATAAAACTAGAAATAAAATAAGATTGTAATCTGAGATGTGTGTTTAGCCTTACCCCAAGAAGGTATTTATAGCCTCTCAAAGCCTAAGGATAAACAAATATATTAAAATAAAATAATCCTA